ATATATAAATGCGAGAATATCATTAACGATTTTCAAAAACATTTTTTATCCTTATTGCAAAAGTCTTTGCATGGCATGTTTGTCTAGTTCTCGTTCATGTCTTAATCAATGGAGAGAATCAAAATGAGCTAGTCAGAAAGAACATGAAATGCTTTTGATATACTGTATGTATTTTTAGAATTTTCCTCTGACATACGACTGGTTCAGTGCGACCAAATACCTGAATAAATCAAAAATGTTTGTACTCAGCAAAGTAGAGTTTTTTCTCTCTCATTCGAATTTTGGTATTTAAAATGCCATAACTTTCGATCCTTTGTAGCATAGTACATAACCAGAGTAACATAATGTGTCTATTATAGAGCAGACTTCGCTCTATAAATTGCTGTATAAAAAGATTTTCTCATAGCCTATATAAAGGTAGTTTAAATTACAATATGAAAATGGGAGGCACGAAACATTTTGTATAGGCGTCATTTTGTATCCATTCAAAGATTTGCTACCAATGAACCAATCTCCAGTCATGAAAAAAGTTTGAATATATATTTAGAAAGAGTATGAAATACTCTGTAAAATGACTATTTACTTCTTGCAATTACTTAAGCGGTTGCAGACATACATTCATTGCACATATTATTTGCCCTAAAATCAGTTTTAATCCGATTTTTTGACAGATTTTTGCATGAATGTAAGAAATTGGATTATAAATCGAACCATGCGATACGTTTATAACAATAGTTATTGTTACTTGTGCGAAAGGATCGTAGATCGAACAACCAGGGTTGTAGACTACTATAACTGGTTTTTATTGACCTATGATATAGTTCCAACGGAGAAACAATGAATTTCAAGAGTCCCATTGGATTCTCAGAATTTTCATGAAATTCCTGGAATTTTCATAATAACAATGTGCATTTCTTAGATTCATATTTAATCTCCATATAATACTTATTTTAGTTCTGAAAATTTCATAGCGTTCACTGCTAGGCCTTCACTGCTTTATCACATAGTCAGAAAAACCGCATTAAACTATTGAGAAAAATTCTTATCTATCTTGAAATTTCTAGACACTTACTCTAATTAGATCGGTATCAAAATGATTTTGACAATAAAGAAGTTTACTTTTTTATGTTTATCGGAAAATAGCCGAGGTAAAATAATTAAGAGCAGAAAGGAAAACGATAAAATAATGAGTAATAGAAGAAATATGTTGTACCTAATGAATATATAGAAAATCATATGTAATCTGACAGTTGAACAAGGTTAAATCAATTAGGTAGCAACACAGCCTTTCTATAATATTTACTAAAAGACAAGAGTTTGAGAGTGAAGGATAAATTTGCTCGGATATTTTTATTGCATGAAAATGAGATTTATCGCTAGCTGACAAAGAAGACAAAAAAAAAGCAATTTGTACATTTGAAGTACTAGCTTGACTCTTGATTCAATGAATTTTAATGACTTTTGTGAGATTAGATAATACGAATGTTTTTCATATAAGACTCGTACGAATGATCTATTTTATTTTACCGGTGATTCTCTTGTTTTCATCCAAGCAAAACTAACATCAACTCTGGAAAGAAGAGGATAGGTCAGATGATAAACTAGACTAAAGGTCTTTCGAAAATTATCATATACAGAAGAAGATCATGAGATTATTTTGAAGCCAATTGTTTCGAAACAGCCCTTTTCTCGTGCTGTGTTACACTTTGAAAACTTAAATAAAAAAGTTCAACTCACTGGATTTTAAAGAGAATCTATTCCTTTTTTCTAGTTGTCTGATTTGTTTTTGCTCGAAGATTCATCTAGTACCTCTAAGTTTTCCTTAAATTATGAAAGTCGAGTGATATTTATTCTTTCATAACAGAAAAGTAGACCAGTCATCACTAAGTCTAGAAAAATATTCTCATAAAATATACATCAATATTTGTCCATGAAAGGCCAGTACGACGCAAATTAGCGTCGATTGGAATCTGAGCTAATCGGTTAATGCATCATCTATATAATGTAGTAAAAAGTCGACAGATTATTTACCTATGTTTTCTTATTGTATTGATGGTAACATGTAGATAATTATTGATCAGTGTAAGTCCCTCGGTTCATACCTAACAATGTATTCTATTTCGAATTTAAAATTTTAGTATGATTTCCATTTATATGAATCAATTTCGCTAGAAAGCAGTTGCCTCTATAATCCAGAATGTTCAATGAACATTGTCGATAAGTTACGCTACGGAATAAGAGTAAAGGAAGGCTTGTTGATTACTGAGTAACAAGTTGAATAAACTATGTTGGGGACGTGAGGATATATCTATTGAAAATATCAGATAGTAAATACTAAGATGAAAAAGAAATATAGTCACTCTTTTTAAGAATAGAAAAATTTTCTTTTTCCCATTACCAAGCAGCCTTTCCTTCAGTCATCAGATAGTAGCTGTCAATAAATAACTATGATTATTGCAATCCTCTAAAACATTTGAGATACTTGGAATCTAATTCGAATCATCAGTAACTCTTTCTGTAAAATCTTCCTTCCTTGCTGTCGTATTGTTCCACTTATCTTAATTTAACAAAGACACAAATTATTGTTTCATCTAATTACAACGTCCGTCCCAACTTGTGCCAGTTCTTATTTATAGATGATTATGGAGCGCATATCAGTAGCCGATGAAATTCATCCCAAAACACATCGAATAATATAATCTTCCCATGATAAAACAACAAAAGCTAGAATCACTGGGCTTTATTATGCCATAAAAAGATCTTGAATTAGTAGTAATTGATTTTTGAGTCACGCCTAATAATCATCATGTTGAGTTGATCATTAATTTTTTGGATATAGTAAACCTTTATGCATCGATTCAAGCGTATTTCGTCATGTAAGCGAGTAGTTCCACCGGTAATCTCCCACGTTTACGGTCACCTTTCAGCAATTTGAGACTTCGACACCTTAAGAGTTTTGATGAAAAAATCCTACGGACTCTCAATTGGTATCATAGTTCTTTTGAGGCCACAATATATTATCTTTTGACCTATACGGACCACATATATCATGTGTTTATGATTTTGTGGTATTGACTTTTTTCTGTAACTATAAATCATCATTGGAATTTTATATATATGTGTATAGTACTAAGTTAGTAGACGAGGTACATAAATATATCAGGTCATTCATATCACTGATATACGGATTGATCAGATACGGCATTATGCGAAAAATTCAAAAAACTTCAAAAATAGCCAATTTGGGGGTATACCGACTTCCATCATTTTCAGTCTTGTTAAATACATATATCTAGTGTCTATTTAAGAATATAATAACCAAAGATTCAATGGGTTTCTATCGGTAAATAGGTAATAGAGACTGTTACGCTATATTTACGTACAGTGAAAAAGTGACACATTGAAGGGAGGGTCATATGAAAAAAAATAGTTTGCTTGCTTGCTTATCGCAGGTCAAAAAAACATCCGCTTAAAGATCAATGCTCGGATATCTTCGATATCTGTTTTTCCTCCAACCACGTACTTGCAGCTTGGAAATTTACCCAATCAGGGGTTTTCAATATCCGGCTCTTGACCAATCAGATTTTTTCTGCATGGAAATTCAGCCAATCAGGGGTTTTCGATATCGGACTTTCGACCAATCAGATTCTTTCAGCTTGGAAATCCAGCCAATCAGGGGTTTTCGATGTCGGGCTTTCGACCAATCAGTTTCTTTCAGCTTGGAAATCCAGCCACTCAGAGTTTTTCAATATCTGGCATTCGACCAATCAGATTCTTCCAGCGTGGGAATTCAGCCAATCAGGGGTTTTCGATATCGGGCTTTCGATCAATCAGATTCTTTCAGCTTGGAAATTCAGTAAATCAGAGGCTTTCGACCAATGAGATGTTTTTCAGCTCGGAAATTGAGTCACTCAGGGTTCTCGATATTAGGCTTTCGAGAAATCAAATTGTATCAACGTCAAATTTCAGCTATTGAAACGTTTCCCGAACCCTAGCTTTTTTCCAATCAGGTCGTGAGAATCTGGGCTTTAAGTCAATCAGTATTTTTTGAGTTCGTTCCTTGTTCAATCAGATTTTTAGGAGCTCATGCATTCCAATAAACGCTATTTCCTCGACTGAAGGAATGGTCATATGAAAAAAAATAGTTTATTTGCTTGTCGTCGGTTGAAAAGTCAAAGGTCAAAAGACGTAACAATGTGATGCAGTTGAGTGTACGTATTATTTATTTTTCGTGATAAATTTTCATTAAAAGATTAGTCTTTGCTCATATTATTAGCCATGAAACAAGTAAATACATTTTCCGAACCATTGTGCTGCACAATAGGGAATTTCATGACACTATTTTTGAAAACGTTTTGCTCTATAAGCGGTCGAGGAAAGTCGCGACTTTAATTCTGAGAATGATTAAAATTCTAAGTTAACTATACTATTACAGATTAGAATCATCGTATTGTACCACGTATAATCAGTTACATCTGATGTTACGATCAGTTATCTCAGAGACACAAAATAAAATGATATGTAAATAAATTTAACTCTTCAGTCGAGGGCTTAGCGAGTCGAAGCGACGAGCGTTACTTGTGGTTGAAGATTGCAGAAAGTTTGATATTTTGCATTAATGTTTACCTTGAGATTGTTCAATTAATGATTTTGTCATGAAAAAGATAAACTATGCAAAATAATTCTTGTAATCTTATTTAGTAATTAAAGATTGAACTGATTAAAAACTAACTTAAGAAAGACATACTCCCAAAAGTAATTCTAAGAAAGAGATTATGAGTTATATCAGAAAACTAGTTAATCATTATGTGATTTTTATACATAAATTAGTTGTAAAATCCTAGAAGAAAACCCACACCTATCACAGTCTCCGAACATCCCACATGTCTTTCATCGTAAACATAAACACACAAAACATTGTAAAACAAAATAATCATTATTGACAAAGTTGAGAGTTTGACTAAGAAACTATTTCTCGTCTTGTAGCAAATCCAATTTCTATGAAGAGAAAATCTCTCTCTCTTATTTTAATAATTTTTCTTGTCTCTATTTTAGATTATCCATTACGTTCTCCAGCCAACACCAACATTCATCCGAATGCTCGATGGCAACAGAATGGTATCACTGTAGCTGGAGGAAAAGGACAAGGCAATGGAATCAATCAACTCTCATGCCCACACGGTTTGTATGTTGATGATGATCAAACCATCTATGTTGCTGACCAAGCGAATCACCGTATTGTGGAATGGAAACGAGGTGCAACGAGTGGCCAAGTGGTTGCCGATAGAAGTGGAGAAGAAAGTGGAGATCATCAATTGAATTACCCAGTAGATGTGATTATCGACAAAGAGAGAGATAGTCTCATTATATGCGATCGTTCGAATAAAAGAGTGGTTCGATGGCCTCGTCGAAATGGGACAAGTGGAGAAACAATCATCTCCAACATCGATTGTGGGGGTTTGACAATGGACGAGAATGGATCTCTCTATGTCACTGATGTTGGAAAAAATGAAGTGAGACGATATCGAAAAGGAGAATATCAAGGAACAGTAGTTGCAGGTGGCAATGAAGGTGGAAATCGTCTCGATCAACTCTCTTACCCACGATACGTATTCGTCGATCGAGATCATTCAGTGTACGTATCTGAATGGTACAATCATCGTGTGATGAAATGGATGAAAGGTGCAAAACAAGGCATTGTCGTGGCTGGTGGTCAAGGACAAGGAAATGATCTTACACAATTGTATTATCCTGCAGGAGTCGTTGTCGATCAATTGGGCACTGTCTATGTGGCTGATTTTGGGAATCATCGAACCATGCGTTGGCCTCAAGAAGCCACACAAGGAAGTGTCATTGTTGGTGGAAACGGTAGAGGAGAACAATCCAACCAACTCGAACAACCCATCGGTTTGTCATTCGATCGACACGGCAATCTCTATGTCGTCGATTTGGGAAATCATCGAGTCCAAAAATTCGAACTACAATTCAATCCAAAGTGAACCCGAAAAACATAGAAATGACATTCACACCCTCCTAACTGACCGCCCTAATTAATTAATTAATTAATTAATTAACACAAGGAAAAAGTTAATTAACACTATATTCTGATTACATCATAATAAATAAATAAAACTAACATCAATTACATAAAAAAAACGCACATTCTATACTAGAAAACTTTAAACATACAAAAACGGCAGAACAGAAAAACACCAGGGACACCTGGCTGACTTCCCTCAAAACGGAAACCTTGCATTTTCCCCGCCGACTCCAAGGATTTCATGATACAAAACAAAGTCTGGCATTTCGAATATTGTAGATCATGATGAATTCTATCAGATTCGAAGGATTCCAAAAGATCCAGAAGTGGGAACCCATGCAATTCTGGACCTCCTTAAAACTTCTGTGCCCACCATAGGACTTTCAGAGGGTACCAATGATTCGAAGCATTCCATGATATAAAACAATCCCTGGTATTTCAAAAATAGTAGATCATGATGTATTATATAAGATTCGAAGGATTCCAAAAGATGCATAAGTCGGGACCCATGCAACTCTGGACGTTCTTAAAACCCGTATGGTCACCAGAGGAGTTTCAGAAGATACCAAGAATTCCAAGGATTCCATGATACAAAACAAAGTTTGGTATTTCGAATATTGTAGATGTCAGATGAATTCTATCAGATTCGAAGGATTCCAAAAGATCCAGAAGCGGGAACCCATGCAACTCTGGACCTCCTGAAAACCCCTGTGCTCACCACAGGACTTTCAGGGGATACCAAGGATTCCAAGGATATCATGGTATAAAACAATGTGTAGTATTTTGAATATTGTAGACCATGATGAATCCTATCAGATTCGTAGGATTCCAAAAGATTCTGCAGTGGAAACCCATGCAACTCTGGACTTCCTTAAAACCCCTAAGGTCACCATTGGACTTTGAGAGGATACCAACGATTCCAAGGATTCCATGATACCAAACAATGTCTGGTTTTTCGAATATCGTCAATGATGATGAATTCTATTAGATTCGAAGTATTCCAAAAGATCCTGAAGTGGCAACCCATGCAACTCTGGACCTCCTTAAAGCCCCTTTTGGTCACGATAGGACTTTCAGAGGATAGCAATGATTCCAATGATTCCATGATATAAAACAATGTCTGGTATTTCAAATATTGTAGATCATGATGAATTCTATCAGATTCGAAGGATTCCAAAAGATTCAGAAATGGGAACCCATGCAACTCTGGTCCTCCTTAAAACCCTATGGTCACCATAGAACTTTCAGAGGATACCAATGATTCCAAGATATAAAACAATGCCTGGTATTTCGAATATTCTAGATCATGATGAATTCTATCAGATTCCAAGGATTGGAAAAGATGGTAAAGGTGGAAACTTTGTAAATTGTCGTATCCTAATGAGTTTCTTTGGTGACTATGAAGGTGTTGGAGAATACCACATATTCGAATCGGGCGATGACAGGAAAGAATATGGTGTAAGGAGTATATGATGGGTCATGATGGATTGTTTCAGGTTGGTTGGATTCCAAAGGAATTTGAAGTGGCCATGTGGTCAAATCGTCATTTCCTGCCAGCGGCTGTCGTTAGTATAAGTCATTGATAGCTTATGAAAGATTGTAAGGAATCAAGAAATATATGGTAGTCAGAGTCTTGTGGTCCATGATGGATTGTATACAATTCCAAGGATGGCAAATGCGCTGGAAGTGTGAAACTGCACAAAAGAATATGTTGTGAAAGCCTCCGTTGTGTACAAAATGGTTTTCAGCAGCAATAAAGGTCTCCGTGGATTTCATGGCAGTAAAAATGTTTGGATGTGAGAATGTTGCAGTCGATGAGGGAATATATCAGTTTGGAAGTTGTCGACAACATCGAGAAGTAAAGCGACATTGAAATTGAGATCCTTCGAATATCCGTCTATAGGGTATGGCAATATTATAGATATCGAAGGGTTCCGAGGATCGGATGGCTTTGAGTAGTAGCTTTCATGGAGAATAGTCAAGTTCATTTTGGATTCTATGAAATGTCGAGTAGTCGAGGCAGAGATGGATATATTCTTATTTTCTTCATAGGTTGCAGGCACTTGACAACCTGTGAAGCTTTTTGTGATCGTGTGCCTGTCTTTGATTTTCATCGGCCTGGCTTGCCTGCTTGATGAGGCGTGTCTTTTCTTTTTGTGTACCAAAAATTGGATAATAATTGAGTAGAGGTAGAAAACTGTCTTTGTAAGAGGAGAGAAAAGTGTTTTAATATCAATATAACATGACGAAATGAAACATCTATTCATTCATTGAGGTATATCAGTATTGAGTGGAAACAAGACAGAAGCTTTCAACGTTTACGAAAAGCTGCTTTTCAATTTTAATCGTCTTAGGTAATTTTACGAAGAAATGGACGATGACTTTTTAGTGGGAACGCATAAGAAACTATATATATGTAATACTACCTAAATGTTTGATGTAAAACTTTTGGATTAACCATTTAACAAGTGTGATCCTTAATCTACCGAAACATATAAATAAACTAAATTAATGAATGGACAATGAACAATTGAATGATAATTTATTGTTACTCCTGATTGCGCTGAGTCAAACTGATACAAAAGTCATTTCTTACATTCCAGAGCAAAACTTCTCTGTATTTTATTTTGAACTTTGCACTTTCTACTGAAGAAATGAAGTTGTTTTCATTGAAAATGCAGAAAACGCACGTCAGGTAGGCCCAATGGCCTGTTTGACCCTCTGATTTCAAAAGATCTCGAGCTGGAAGGTGAATGAAATCATGTTCTTCCAGAAACTTGTTGTAGAGATTATAGAACTATTATCGCACAGCAGCGAACTTAACGATATCCTAAGAAGATACTATATCGGTTTTCAGAATATGGACCCTGATGGTGGATTCTATGAGATTCGAAGGATTTCAAAAGATGTCTTACTGGGTAGTCAAGAAAATTGTGTTCTCCAGAAAACCCTTTATAGAGAATATAGGACTTTATTTGCGCGTTCACGATTTTAAGGATTTCACGACATGAAAAATGTCTGATATCAAGGTTAATATTTTCGACGGTGGACTAGATCAGATTTGAAGGATTGTAGAAGATGTCGAACTGAGAAATCATGCAAATCGAGATATTCATAGGTTTTTGTAGAGATTCTATGATATTCTAGGCAAGGGGGGAAAAGCTCATTGCAATCGAAATAATCATTGTCAATCAACAGTAAGTATTAATAATTGTTCAGAATAAAGTTATTTTTATTGAAAACAATAATGCTAATTGTCATTCACTCTACATAATAGTTGTCAGTGCAGGAGGAATTATATCGTCGTGTATTCTATAAATTCAGGACAGCCATGATGAACAATAGACAGTCGATATGCAGTCTGAGTCGATATTTTTCTTTTTTTCTTGTCGTATGTGTGATGGAACAACTCACTCGTTCTGAGTTTATTTCAATAATGAATTACAATAATATATGAACGCAGTATATATATTCCAGCAGAGAGAAAAACGAGAGAGAATGATTAATGAATAGAACATTAGAGCATGACCGATGTGCCCGATCGGGGTCATGAAGAGTAGTGACGGGTAGAATCCGTCATACACCCCTCCGCCGCGATACGAGTGCATCGGCACGAGCAAAGACAATGATAGTGATTAAGAAGATAATAGAGTAACGAATTGAAAAAAAAACAAATGACAACTACTTTGATAGCTAGTGAATTAGAAGATGAGAGACAACGTATAACATTGTATGAACTATTATGTGTTCGATTAGATATATGAGAAAAAATAACAACGACAAATTGAAACAAATGTAGAAATGAACAATAAACATCATGAAAGAAAGAAAAAAAAATGAAATGAAGAGGAGAAAAAACACCAAACGAATTATACACTCGTACACAATTATTGCTGGTGATCAATATAATTGAAACGGATAGACATAGCAAATGAGAAGAATACGCAAAGAGAAGGAAAGTAAAAGTTCGATTGACGATCATTGTATATGAACCGATTATTTGACTATGATAATTCGATCATCTCGGTATTAAAAGCACTTGATAATCCAGGAGATGGTTGATCATGGTTTGGTGAGAAGACTGTCGCGTGTTCCTGTTGTTGTGTTGATGGGTTGATGGTGTTGAAGATTGTTGACGATGTATCAGAGCGATGATTGGTGACGTGTTGACTTGTATTAGTGTTTGCTTGTGGTGCTTGACTACAGACTGTGCTGTATAAACGTGGTTTACGTTGAAGAGGTGGTCGACGGTGTGATTGAGGATGAGATTTAGTTGAGCATGGGGGAGCATAAAACGACATAAGAGGAATTGGATTAGCAGGAGCATTGTGAAGTGGTGGTTCATTAACGTCAAGTTGTAATGACACAAGTGGTTGTGGAATTATTGTTTCATGAGATAATTGCCGTTTTAATGTTTTATTTGATTGTGCTGGTGCAGTTATATGTGAGACATGTGATACCAAAGTATCAGGAGTAGAATTTTCTTTCGATGAGGATATTGTTGATGAGATGGTAGAGGGATTAGTTTCATTGGAAGATGGTAAGAATGAGAAACGATTGACTCTGGTGGCATTTAAGATTGGAGAAAGTGTCCACGCTAGCTGAATGAGTCTAGTAGTGTGGAGTTGGGAGGAGGTGGATTCATTTATTTCTAAAAGAGTTTCAAAAAATAATTCATAAGTTGACGGTCGGAGACAGATAAGAGATCATGTAAGACGTATGACATCATCGGGATCAATATTATTGCGTCTAAGAAAAGCCGAGGATGAAGCAGAATCAAGGAGAGTGACAGTAGACAAGGCGGTCTGAAGCTGCGGATGAAAAGAGAAATGATCTTGGAGCCATTCACGGACTAAATTAAGAGTAGTGTCAATAGAAGGGAGAGAAGAGAAATTTGCTACATGAAAATTTTTAAGAATGTTCCAAATTGATGCGAGTATGGAGTCATGTTGTTGATAAAAATACGTAGGTGCCATTTTCTGCAAGGAAAGGTAATATTTTATGATTATATATAATATATTTTTTTGTTTATGTTTATTTATTTATTGAAGGATTATTATTAGGTGTTATTTAGATGATGTTTCGTGTTATTGATAGAGGGAGTAAGGCTACACGTAAGTCTTGTAACAAGCGTGTTGAATAGCAGCGACGAATATAACATATAGTCGTAATGGCAGCACATATTAGGGTGTGGGGTGTGGGTGTGGGTCGGTGTGGGTATGGGGTGTGGGTCGGTGTGGGTATGGGGTGTGGGTCGGTGTGGGTATGGGGTGTGGGTATGGGTGGGTGTGCACATTTTCTTGATCCACACCCATACCCACACCCTATTTTCTTAATTCGCTTCTCAAAATGAACTATAGTAGATCAGAGCTTCTTTATAATGATAAAGATTTTTCAAACAAAACAAGATAAAATTGAGTTACAAATGAAGAAGGATATGAATGTGGATGTAGTTCGTCTCTTTACTCACACCCATATCTATACACACAATGTTTCATTGAAAAATATTTAACCAGATCAAAATACGGACTGTGTTAGTTTATTTAAGCTCACTCACACTCAAACCCTCGTTTTAAAAATATACGTAGTCGATGATAAAAAAAAGAGATGTAAAAACCAGCCATTCACTATGGGATACCCATGAAAAATTGTTGCCATTTTTAATTGGATTATTTTGCAGTACTTTCATCAGAAAAAGTAATGAACAATAAATATAAAGCTTCATAGACTCAAGTAAAACGTCAAAGCTGTCAGTGAAAATCTGTTAAAATGTAATAAGTATCTTAATAAAATCAAACTCCCAACAGCACATTCTAGTCATGGCAACAGTTCAAACGTGTTATTAGTTATTATAGAGAAAAATGATGAATAGGAAGAAATAATAAAGAACTTACAGCACGTATGTAGATGTGCTATTCTATGACAACAATAAATATTGAACTTATTTATTGCTAGATAAAAATGATCTTTTATTCATTTTTTTGTAACTGAATTAAAGAATGACAATGAAATTAGAATTTTTATCCAATGAGCTGTTGTTCGATTTATTCGATTACATGAGTATTGGTCAAATTTTACGATCATTTCAATCTCTTAACATTCGCTTTAATCAACTTATTTTTCTCTATCTACGGACAACTCGCCACCTTGATCTATATTGTATGACTCTGACCGATTTCAACATTTTCTATCGATTCCATCTACCAGAGATTGTCAATCAAGTCATTTCTTTGACTGTTTCAAATGACAAGAAAACTCCATTACAAATTCAATATTTTTCACTTTATGATGATTTTCGCCGATTTATTAATTTACAATCACTTTCATTACATCATGTTCATTCAAAACAGATTATGAATCAAATAGCATTGGCATTCAATTATCTTCCTCATCTCATTGACATGAATTTGATTGACTGTTGCATTTTATCAGATGAGGCTCATAACTATACTGTGATTGACAAAGTATGGAATATACCAAAGTTGATACGGTGCAATCTGAGTAGTATAGTATCATGTAAAACTCAATATTTTTTGGCCATCCGAAATGTCTGCATCTCTCAAATATGTATCTATTCAGAATTTCTCTCTTAGTAGATGCTCATTATCTAATCTATTTCAATGTATGCCTCATCTTCGATGTCCCTATATTGATTCATATTTCGATGTAGGATATACTGCTATGGTGTTTGTTCCATCTTTAGTTAAGTTTGAGTTAAATGAAGGACACACATCGAATCACGTTTTATCAATTGGAACAGATGAACTAGTGATTCTTTTACAAAAGATGCCTAATTTATGTCATTTATCAATCGAATCCTTATTTATGTTTATGGATGGGTATCATTGGGAAAATATCATTACAAACCATTTACCCAAGCTGAAAATATTTCGATGTAAAATGGCAAATTATTCAAATAAATTAGATGGAATAGAGCTGCGAATGAATAATCTCTTGTGCTCAATTCAAAGTCATTTTTGGCTTGAAAATTACCGATGTTTTATTCGATGTTATTGGAAGTCAGATAATCCACGCACATATGATATTTTATATTACACATTACCTTTTACTTTCGCACATTCGATTAATATGACTGATTATCTGTGGTGTAAATCGACCAGTCCATATGAGAATGATTATTGGTCATCTGATACTAAGCACAAATTACTATACCATTTCACTGGTGACGTGAATGTTACTTCGTTTAGAGAATACCCAAGTTCTCTAGGATTAGATAGAAAGCCAATAACTTCTTCGCAACGATCAATCACTTGTTGTGAAAGAATTAACAGAATGTTTCGATCGATTTCTAATGAAATGGAATCAGTTTCACTTTCGAAAAGTGAGTTTCAAAAAGACCTGATGATGAGATTTTTTACTCCTTTGAATAACACCTGTCTTATTCTGATTTTTAGTAACATTCGTGAACTTTCTGATACATTTCCACTCGATAAATATTTTTGGTACTTAGTTCCAAACCTTAATCAATTGTTCTCACTTAATATTGTCTTGTGTCTTGATGAAGTTAGTCAATCTCACCTGTACACTTTGCTCGATAAATCACCTAATTTATATTCATTGAACATTGTCTATTCTACGATGCCAACTTCAAAATTCTTTCTAACCGAGATTCGACATGTATCGATCCGTAGACTTAGTTTGCTACAATATGACTCATTGGGTCGATATATATTTTACAACATGGAACAATGTGTTGGATTGAGTCGTTCACTATTAGGTAAACTATGTGAAATACTTACTATTAGAGTCAGTAATAAAGAATGTATAGTCTATCTTGTTAACGAAATAATCAATCTTCGATCGTTAACAGTTTGATGCGACGATGACAACATAAACAGATGTTCGTCATTCAGAACATCTTCTGATGTCATTAATTGGTTAAAGTTTTCTCTACCGTCTACAATTCAGATAGGAAGATATGGTTGTTGTAAGGAAAACATTCAGTTATGGATACGTTAACTACAATATTATTCGTCTTTTGCAAAAACACCTTGCCAAATATGTTTTCACTTAAAGTTCAGCAACAATAAATCCCAAAAATATTCTTAGAACTGATAATATTTTTATTTTGTATCAATCACTTTCACCAAAATAATCAAGTATCGTAATCAAATTATTATGTTCATATGCGACGACTTGTTATAAGATTCAGTGTTGCATTACTAGTTCTACTTGTGTATGTGTCAGCTATGTCTTTTTAATAAAACTGGCACCATTCTCGAATCTATTCTAATTTTGAAAGAAAAGCATCTCTATAAAATACTATGTATCACAATATATTGCAATGTGAGGATATGATTTAAGTGTGATGGACATGGACAGCTATGAGTGTGAATTTGGAAATTCATTGGAACAAGACACATCCACATCCCCACTAACGTCCATACCTACACTCACACGAGAAGCAAGTAGAAGCATAGATTTTTTTTCTGTGAAGAAAAATGCATATAGTTACTCTTGATGCTTCAAAGAACTTTTGTGCAAAATGAAACGAGAAAAGCATATTTTGAAACAAGTCTGATAGATTCAATTCAAAACACTTCATAACCATTTTAAGTTTCTCTTCGATTCGAATAGTGTACAGTAAAAGTGGGATTCGTCATTTGTTTTGTTTTTGTCCAAAATTGTGGTACAAAAGCAAGAAAATAGAGAAAAGGTGTTCCAGCAGCAATATATTCAGGAATACTTGCAAATGTAATTACCCAAATAATAGAACAAGTAAGTATGAAGATCGTGCATCCAAGAAACCACAATGGAAAAATGACATTTGAATGTTCGGAAGCTTTTGATCGATGAATAAAAAGATAAATTATAAGTATTGTATGAAGAATACAATAGATTGAAATAGAACCAAAGGTAACAATAGCACCGATATCGTGTACATTTTCACGATCATCGAGGCTTACTATGGCCATAATTAGAACAAATATACCAGAGACAAATGCAATGATATGAATAAAAAATATTATAGCACGATGAATAATTGTTTGAGATTGAAGTAGAAATTGAAGTCTACCGATACATATGATTAACAGTTGTGGAATCAGAATTATAAAACCGGACATAAAATAATAATGTGCTTGACCAGTTCCAAGTTCGGATATTTGGGGTAAATTTTGTCCTGATTGAATATTGTTCGGTATTTGACTACATATAATTAAGGTCAAAACAAATGTTAGAATTGAAGTGAATGGTAAGATAAGTAATATTCGAAACCAGATTAAAGTACCTATATTCCTCATATCACGTAAAATACTGAGAAAATAAAAGAATGTGAGTGAAAAAAGAATTCATATGTTACATTACAAAGAAAAACAACAGCAACATTAACTATATTCATCTTTCCTTATCGAAACGTTTATTGCAGAAATGAAAAAAGAAAAACACTCGTGGCTGATACGTCGTTCCCATTGACATAAAGATATTAAGGAAGAAGAGCACTGTGATTCGATACTAACGGCTTCTTTGAGGTTTTCATTATAGTATATAAAAAAATCAGCAAGGAAAGTTGGCATGATTTTGTTTTTCAATTCCTGTCATCTTTCAATTAATAGAATGTGAATATGAATGTGATTTTATCGTAATTAGCACTCACTCATCCACATCCACACAATCACACTCAAGAACATTAACAGTTATCATCTGAATAACTGCCACAAAAAATAAACAATTGATCAACTATAGTTACTCGAGTGTCACGATGCGATCCATCATAAGGCCATTAGTGTAAATGTTACTGATATCAATAGAGTTTTGGATTTTAGATACAGAATATGGTTCTATTATAGGTCCAAGTCCTGTTTTACTCTTATCTCAACTTATTAGAGTAGAGCTGGGATTATTGACGATGTGTGGCTTGTTAGTTTTATTGTCAGATTGCATTTTCTCTTAATTTTAGCAGATATCTTGAAGGTGTGGGTTCGATACTCTCGTTAACTTTCATCGTTAAGAGACTTTTTTATTTTCTCTGGTATAGAGGGAACACAAAAAAGATCATTCTCTACGATCAAAAATCGATTCAGCATTATTGAAGACATACTGGTCGATTTCAATATAACTTATACAATCGAGATTCTTTTTGACTCTAGCAATTTTGAATATGGTGAATGGAATAATGAAGATTTCGTTTTCATTCGAGTACGTAGATATGGTGTGTACATCAATGGCTTGACATGGATTTCGAATGTGATAAGCAAATATGACTTGATGATTCGACTTCAACTCGAAAGGGTGATTCATTAGAAAACTCCGTGTGACGGCTTGATCAGGTGAGGAAGACAGAAACGTTCGCGTCGGAATAAATTTACTTTCTTCATATTGGTCTAATTCTAAGTTCATATCACGATAGATTGTCCCAATATAGTGACGATACTGCTGTAGTTGCAGATGATGACTTAGAATGGTAACGATAATGTGTTGACCAAAGCCTTTTGGTGGATCATTATCACGATAAACTGTCTTGCTCATTGCGAAGCTTATTTCAAAACGAAAATCGGATCAACCATTGGTTAAATCTTGATTAAGTTTGGCAACGCAAGGTGTCTTTTCCGTGTAGGCACGAACAAGCGGCGTTAGATCATCGTTATCTCTAGTTTGCTTCATATAGTCTCTGAATAAAAGTTTCTACTCAATTTGTTCAGAACCAAAATCTATTTTATCAATATGGTCAGTATCGATTTCGCCTACAGGTCGAACGAAGGATACTTTAGTTAACCATTGCTTTAAATAAGTGTGATTCCCGTAAGCGATTCGGTAGGCATGCTTATATGTATCAAACCATTCGATTGATTCTTGAACATAATCTTTATATTCGTTGATGGTAACGGTCTTGTCTATTGTCGGCATTTTATCAAATAAAAACTTTAAGTGAGCAGGATTTTCATCTTTGGCAGCGCAATCCCATTGATTTTTGATTGATTGATTAAAATTTTCATGTGCCAATAAAAGTTCTAATACACCGACATGTCCACACAATGCAGCAAACGACCTGTATCATTACTCTTCCAAGCCATATATAATGAGTTCATGGATGACATCGTTATCTGGGATTCTTAAAAAGATATATTTTCATTCATTTTTTGTATGACATTTTTATATAGTTGTCGTTTAAAAAAAATGACACTTAATCAATTTGTCTCGTTACATAGAGAAAAAGACAGATTGGGATCGAAGAATTTTGCCATCGTGTGTGGCTAGGAAAATTTTATGTTGACAGACGTTTAAATCGGTAGAACGAAGAAAGTTGACAAAATTAACATCGTCGGTGTAGGTGAAAGAGAAGAACATTGACATTTATATGAATAAAGTCATCAGAAGTATAGATCAGCTCTTTAACACATTGCATGCTTTTGTCAAAAATCGAAGAGAAAAAGAAAAAGGCAACAGTTAGCTGTACTCATGAAGGAACAATTGAATCACTTTCACAGTTTTGAACAGATTCCGACGCGGGTAAGTGTGGGTGTGGACGTGAGTGATAGAAATGATGTCTCTTTCGTATCCACACTCACACTCATGGTTGCGTAATTTTTTTTATTATGTACCTCCAACACACTACAGACCAAGTAGCTTTTTTGTGGCGTGTTGGCAGCTGTGATATGCAGTTTCATGCTAAATCATATTCGCTATTGTATATATAAAAAAATGTCTTCATTTATAGATTAATATGAAGAAAATTAGTTTTTTTTAATACTATCAAAAAAAAATGAATTCGTGATTAAAATAATTTGTTAAAAAGTTTTATATTTTCATTGTTCATGGTAACTATAATAATGATCACACATGCAGTTACGATAAATTGTCTGATCCAATTTATTATCTTGCAGAGGAAATGTGCCTAACGTTGCACTGGCTGTCAATCCACCCTTACCTGGTACATTCACCTGGAAATTGCCGCCAGAAGTAGCTTTTTGAACAGCTGATACTGGATTTCAAACACACGATTTGCAACCACATTTGCGACACGACATAATTGTTGGTAGAGAAATGAGAATATCGTTAGACTCAAATACTCTGATATATACTTGTCAAGTATTATTGTCACTGATAAGACTTGACTCATGTATGTTGAGAAAAATGAGTAACTACCTCTTACTCATCATTTCCAGTGGTAAGTTGGTAGTTTTTTAATGTTTCCTCGCTCACACTTTCAAATATTTGCTTATATGACAAGAACCGATATTATTTTACGATATCCTTGATTACACATGATTAGAAAAAGAAAATACTACCTATTTTATTGTTTGTCTGGTCTTTAAACAATCTAAAAAGGTGGAATTTTTCAGGTCAAAAAATTTCTGTGGCTCACAAACATGGGTATGCTTTTTTCCGTCTTATGACTATTGACTTGCAGATTATTCTGTAAATTTAATTTATTCATTATAAATTTTCATAAATCTTCCATAAACAAGATTGTACTTTTCAGATCTTTCTACTGAAACATTGAACTATTTCTATGTTATATGAAAGAAAGAGACAGTTGTTGTTATGTTGAAAAGATTTACCTTATATACATCGTTCTATGTAAATTCTAGGACAGTTTTTGTATAAGATAGAACGATAATACAATACGTAGGGTGTGGGTGAGGTGTGGATGGGTTGGGGGTGTTGATGTGAGTCTTTTTCAGGAAAATACATAAACGCACATCCACACCCACACCCACACCCTACAAGATTTCTTTATGTACGCAACACTTGCAAAGCATAAGACAAAACGAAGAACACAAAGGGGCGTATTTGTTCTTAGACATTGACACCGATAAACAATATTTCCGGAAATCATGCATGTTCGACTTAACGTTGGTACATTTCTAATTCGCTCACACGTAATCGGGTGAGTGTGGGAGTGTACTATGAGACTGGAGGGAATAGAGGACTTACTACTATCCACGCTCACACTCTTTGCCCCATAGATTGGGTGCCCCTTCCGTTGGTTGTTTGTATAACCGCTGCCCTAATGATGGGGAGACTAGGTCTTTGAAATTTACTGTACCCCCAAATATGGGTTCCAGGAGTCGACTCTTGAGGCACACGAAGAAAAAATTGTTTATTTTTCTAACAAAATAGTAGTACCGATTAAAACGTACTTTATATACTATGTACAAATATATAATCGAAAAACCAGAAAGAAAAGGTTATAAGACGAAATCTCATAAAAAACCATTTATCATATTTCAAAATAAAAACAAATAAGTCGTCTTTATGTACCCTACAGGTAATTCAAAAAGTATCTGGATACCCGCATGTTCTTTCGTGTTTCTTGGTTTTCGAAGCGGAAACAAGAGATGAAATTTTTCTTTTTTTATCAGTGGATAGCCCTTACTTCGAACTAGTTTTCCTATGAAAAACAGCAATTTTGACTATCATCTTGAATTACAAGAACGTTTCTAATGAAAATGTTTGATTTTCCAATATCATAGGTGCCCGCTTTCCTGACATAACAATTACATTATTTGTACAGCGCTAGAACGAACAAAGCGAGTTCTCTTTGTTCGCATAATAGCTCAATGAAGAGAGATAATTTTTCCAAGGTAAACTGTTTTGAAACAAATCAGATTCTTGACCATGATTAATACGACAGTACGAGAACAAGAATGTGGGTGTGGGTGTAGGTTTATCAATCTTGCTTTCAAGGATATCAACATACCTGCATTCACATCCACACCAACGCTTACACTCACACACATCACTCTACATTGACAGCCACATACGCTACTCTATATAGACATTCATACCAACCTGCACACTCTTTTTCTCGTACTATTGTATTAAGCATGGTCAAGAATCTGATTTGTTTCAAAGCAATTTACCTTGGGAAAATAATCTCTCTTCGTTGAACTATTATGTGAACAAAGAGAGCTCGCTTTGTTCGTTCTAGCGCTATACAAATAATATAATTGCTATATAAGGAAAGCGAGCACCTAACATATTGGAAAATCAGACATTTTCATTAGAAACCTTCTTGTAATTCAAGATGATAGTCAAAATTTGCTAGCTCTCATAGAGAAACTAATTAGTTCAAACTAAGGGCTATTCACTGATGAAAAAAGAAAAATTTCATCTCTTGTTTCTGCTTCGAAAATCAAGAAATACGAAAGAACATACGGGTGCCCGGATTCTTTTTGAAGTACCTGTATTTATTAGAAAACCAATATTATAAAAGAGAAAAATATTCCATAGATTAACATAGGCAAAGCAGAAAAGTATCGTGATATTTCGTATTTATCCCATGGCTCAGGTACTTACTTTACTTGTACATACTCTCTTTCTATCAGAAGACATTCTTTCATCTATTAGCAGACTGTGAATAATCTTGATCGATATCGAACAAGACTATCAAATCTTTTCAGTATTTTTATTTCAGAATAGAACTGCTCACATCTATTGCTGAAACTTGTGCAGAAGAATTTGTTCTTGGGGATATTAATAATTCTTATATTCATCGAAGGATTGATTTCAGTGAAACTTTAAAGTAGTCACACAATGAGTACAGCAAGATCAATTCTTAGTCTCCTCCACAACCACTTCCACATGAACTTCCAGCGCTATCTGTACCTCCATCTACAGTTCCCCACCAACCTCCACATCCGCCGGAGTTTTTATGGTTTGGTCGTTTTTCCTCTTCAGACTTGTGAATCATTGCACAGCGGCTAAAATCGAGAAACTTGCGTGAATAATTTTGATCAACGTGTTGACCATATTCTGATTGATAAGCTTTTTTCCATCGATCAGCTGTATCTTGGTAAGCATCGATTAATACTGGTGGAGCTATTGAATCGTCATGATCAAGTACAAAACCACATACAGCTTTAGAAAATTCCAGATAACTCAATGGATATCTCATGTGTGTATGCCACATCAAATCAATATCAAATGTTGGAATAATTATTGTATTTTTTCTTGCTAATTTCATAAATGATACGTAGTTTTCTACAATTTGTTCGAACGATGTCAGATCCATGTGTTCCAAGTTCAGCGAGTAGAATTTATGTTTTTGAAATTTTTCGAGGAAATTACGTTGACTCAATACAGCTTTCATCATATCGACTGAAGGAATGAAAGTTGTTTGGTTATGGCTTGGTTCCTGTGAGCTAACGCCATTCTGTTTCTGATATTCATCTATTGTTAATTTTCGAATTTTTTTATCAATAAAATAACTGCCTGGAATTTGTTTGATACAATCGTTGTAATATGCTATAGGATGAAGACGATGTACGTGCCAAATCCAATCGATTTGCCATGGAAGTTTTGATTGTTGAAATTTACTCATCATCTGATTGCCAGACATTCGGTGACAATAGTCTTCAATGAAAAATTTTAATTTGTCTCCCTTCTCTATCATTTTCGGATGAGCGATCACTTGCCGAAGTAACAGAATGTGATCAACCAAATCGAAATAGAATAGACGGAACATGGTACCACTACTCGTACGAATATGCGTTGTCAAATGTGGTATGGAGGATGCTGATACATTGCCCATCTTTTTTAATGTGATAAATGCTGAAGTTTTTGAAAGACTTTTAAGGTGACTCTAGTACAGAACTAGAAGACTTGTATTAATAATCTTTGAAGTAACTAAAGCCACAATAAAACTTCATCAATATCGATTATAAATCATGTAAAACGTGGCATCCCTCAAATAAACCGAAACCTGTCTACTCAATGTCACAAATAGATTGTTGCTGGTGTTAGGTTTCTAAGTTCTTTTATTTAAAAAAAGAAGTAAGAAAATAATTTTCCACAAAACAAGAAAAATAGCAACAACCAAACCTTCATCTTGGAGGTGAAAACAACAACGTTTTTTTTTATCTGACTAGAGAAAGAGAATTATAATAAAAACAGAGTGACCATCCATCTATATTTGTTATATAGATGGCGGTCCTAACAGGTGATTCCCCGTTAGAGAACGTGTCATTCAATTAGTATAAAGTAAATATTACTGAGTGAGTATTGTTGTCATGGAAATGCCGAAAAAGAAAGGCTTAGTACTGAACAACACGAGACAAATTCGATTGAAGAAGAAGAACTCACTTGTAACTGAACAGTAATAGAAAATAAGCATGAAAAAGTAACGAATTTAATGCTGCATTGTATCCAATACATCATCCAAACATGATGGCGTTTTGTAGTAAAATGTCACTGTTCTTCTGTATCGAATAAAACGAAAGCAACGGTGCAACAGAAAAGAATTGATGTACATACTTGTCTTTGCCAACAGTTGCATGTACAGGAAAGAAAGAGAAAACACACACGTGGTTGAAAAATATATATACAAAATCAAATAGATGAAGGTCGTTTCAGACTCCATTATTTTCATCTATGATTTATCCAGCAACTCATTTCAAATACATATTGATGAGCTCTATCAAATGAAATTATCACATTTTATATAATTTCAAAGTTGGGTGTGAATGTTGGTATTGGTGTATCGGTTTGCATATTCATTCCATCTATATTTAAACCCACACCCGGAACAAACTATTGAAAGATAATCATGGCAAAATAAGTAATCTTCTCCATAAGCTCTGTCATGCAAGTACACAATTTTCTCATTTTCTTATCAATTCAACTGGAGTCTCAAATAGAAGCCGTTTTAGATTGGTTTGATGCAAGTGATAAACGAACAAAAATTATTTTCGTGATAATCAAAAACAAAATGATTTGAGTGGCATTGTTCATATGCAAACGCAAAAGAAATGATCCGGCGTTTATGAATCAATGAAAATGACCTCTGACTACCCGATAATGCGGGAGCAGATCATTGCTGTCAATGAAGAACAGAAGTTAATTATGAGCCTGCATGAACGTGAAGTTCCGGAAAAATCTAGAGACTTGACTGGTACTTCAAGCAGCTATTTGTAAAAAGAACTATTTAATGTATGGCTTAAACAAGATCTGCTTAAACGCAAATGTTAGTTGATTTTTGATAATCAAAACATTATAGTAGGTGATATTATCGATCGGTTTTTCATTTAGTAGAATATAAAGAAATTCCTTTATACTCTAAAGAATTATTGTTTGTATAGAAACGAAGAGGTTCTAGATTGAAAATGCATAAACGACCATGTAGTATTAGAAAAAAACTAACATTTTTTGTTTTTTGAGAAAATGTTCTATTGTGTGTACGATACTTTATAGACTTATAATTTATTTATAAGTTTGAGATAGTATTGGTCAGGCTTCATGACGAGCGATACTACTCTAACATTAGTATCGATAGTAATCAATCGTAATTTTGATTAAGTTGATATCAAAAAAGAAGAGAAAAGTGTAGGTTGCTGATAGATTGATGAAGCTGCCGTTTCTCTCACACTTACAGACAAATCCACATCGATAGTGAGATGAAAACCGACTAGTCCTGCCCATATCTAATGTATTCTTACGAAAGAAAAATAAGAGAGTCAACGTTAATCATCAGATGAGTTTTCTAGAAAAATAAATTTTTAATTTCAAGCATGATAAGTAATATAGTTATTCATGTTTGTAAAATAATCATGCTTCTAGGAACGTTCTGTATATTGAATAAAAACGAGAAAGTTTCTGTGAGAGGGTGTGGGTGGATGTGTGGCTGTGGGTGTGAGTGGGGGTGTGGATGTGGGCGTGGGGTGGTAGTGGGTGTGGATATGCTGTTCCTCATACCCACACCCTCACCCACACCCCCACCCACACTCCTACACCCACACACCCAGACACACCCCACATAACGGAGTATACTTGTCGAGTAAAAAATGTAGAATTAGATCCTAACCTGATGAGCTCCATGCATCAATGAATGGCGTGCTCGACTACAACACATACAGTGCCTTATATTAATAGTATGTGTTGATCTGAGTTTGTAGTCACAGTTCATACACACAACGTCATTGGAGACCATTCCATCATCATTATCTGAAATTAATGGCTGGTCGGTGGTACGTAAATCTGAAGAGTGAACTTTTGCAAGCAAATATCTGTGTGTGTTTCTTCGTTAGAAAAAAAGACTATTTAGTTAACCACTCAATAGCTGAAATAATTACTTCAATAAATCTTTCACAACTGTCGATAAATGCTTGTGTCTAATTTTTTTTACTGGTATCTATTTATTTATAGAACAATATTCATTATCATTAACAGTTTTTGTAGACAATATTAGTAGTTACATGCATATGAATCTTATCAACACTATTCTATGCTTCAACTCTCTCTACATAATAGCTCTAACTACGACATCATCAAATAAGATTCCATCTAAATATCTTGAAAATCCTTATCAATAGTTCTACTGGTTTTGAAAGATACTCAGTTTTCTCGTTGGCTCGTTTGTATTCGATTAACTGGCTAGTGCTACAGCATGTCGAGCGATGAAAATTCTTCGTGATTTACGGCACACATCACTGGTCATAGTACAAATAGTTGGTTTTTTTCATATTTATGGCAATCATAAAAACATATGTTATTTTCGAGAATAGTTTTCCTTTTTTGCTTAACCTTGATCTGTAATAAAAATTAATAAATGGAAAGATCGTAAGATAAAAAAAAAAGTTTTCTCTTCAGATAATATGAAAGGAGACAAAAAGTCAAGATTCAAGGCGGATGTGGAAGTTGGTGTGTTTTGTTTTAACACATCCGCACCTCACCCACGCCACTGCCGTTTTGTATTCACTTTTTCAATTCTCCCCTGGATGCACAGTGGACAGTCAGAAGACAAAATCAATTTCTAAGATCTAAACCTAAGTTATAGCTGTCATTGAATCTGCCATGATTTTGAGAGTGTGGGTGTAGATTGCATCTTCAGCGCCCCATACGCACACACACGAAACACCCACGTCGTTAAGAAAAATGTATATTTCAAATTGAAAATCTAATTATATGCATTACATAGTATGCAGTTATCGTAATGTCCATTTCAAAATATAATGTCCGTCGCCATTTTTTGAATAATTCGAGAACGCAAACAGCTAGAGACCTGCGGATTTCACCAATCGATAAATAAGACAGGGGGACGTCTTTTTCTCAGGTAATGTGTAAGGCGAAATCCTTATGAAACTAGTCATCTCTGAAAAACATGGAAAAGCATGCATGAAAATGACCTGCCATCCAGATGAAAGTTGATTTTGACCTTTGATTTAGATAGAGAAACTTGAGATCTATAGTTCAAGATACAATGCACTTTCTTACTTTTCCTTACGTTTTCATCGAAATGTCCAGCTATTATGATAAAACTGCAAAAACATAGTAAAAAATAATTAAAATTCTCTATTATTTGTGCATGTAAATAGATGGTTCCATTTGGTCAACGATAGCATGCAATAAGAAAAGTATTTACATTCTATCTTGAACTATAGATCTCAAGTTCCTCTATCTAAATCAAAGGTCAAAATCAACTTTCATCTGGATGGCAGGTCATTTTCATGCATTCTTTTTCATATTTTTCAGAGATGACTAGTTTTACAAGGATTTCGCCTTACACATTACCTGAGAAAAAGACGTCCCCCTGTCTTATTTATCGATTGGTGAAATCCGCAGGTCTCTAGCTGTTTGCGTTCTCGAATTATTCAAAAAATGGCGACGGACATTATATTTTGAAATGGACATTAGTATTATATACTTACTATATACTACAGACCTTTTGAACTTCCTTCTGTTGCAATAGCAGCAAAAATCTACTTGTAATTATGCTAAAAAATAACGACTTATAAATCATGCAATTCTATTGCCAGATTTTCCTGGAACTTTTGTTAGAATTTCAACACACTATTTAATAAGGCATGTCATAATACATCACAGATGGACGCGTAAAGCTGCATACTTTCTCAAATATAATCATTGATATAGACTTAAAATTCTCAAACTTCTTCGTCGATTGTTTGATTCTAAACATTATCCATAGACAGTTTTCAATTGTGGAATACTCCTAAGGGAACTTTTTCAGATGCTAAATCATTTCTGGTTCAAGTTTATGTTTATTTGATGAGTGTTGGCGAGTGTGGAAAAGTTTAAAATGATTTGATTTTCCAGGCCTTCGTTCTTATCATATCAGTTCACGTGGAACGTTTACTTTTGAGTTTTGACTTGAAACTTTGAAAAACTAATACTGTTAACAGAACTAGTTGATTCTGAAAGTTTTAACTTTCTTCGTCAAATTAGAAGCAATAAAAAAAACCTGACACTTTCAGAATGAACTAGTTCCATTAAGAGTATTATATATGTAAAATTTCAAGACGGAATTCAAAAAGTCAACTTGGAAAGTAACGAGAGCGTAACTACAAAATTTCGCTGAAAAATTCAGTAACAAAAAAAAAATCTATTTCTCCGAAATTTTACAAGTAAAAAAAAAGATATAATTAGCAAAGATAGTCAATATCAAGAATGAAGCATAGTTGCACGAAATGTCACATAAGTATAGTTACAATAATTGATTCCTATCTAACAGTAAAACATTTCATAATTATTAATAATATATAAAACAAATCAAATCATATTATTTATTTTTTTCCAATAAATATTACAATAGTGTGATTAATATATTTTTCAAAATAGATGTCACTGTCGTAATCATTTTTCGCTATTCCTCTACGACGATGTCCACTTACAATAAAGAGAAAGAAAGAAAGGAGAAAACTTCATATTCAATATTTTTTTTTTTTTCATATTATCAATGCCACTTACATTTCCATCATCAGTTGCCAAAAAAGTTCGGTATAGTTTAATTAAACAAAAAAACAAAAAAAACAACAAACTTTTTTCTTCATAATTATATGTTATTATTTTCTATAGGTTGGCTCTATTACATAAATGTAATAGTAGTCGAAAACGACGTGACGATATAACAGTAGTTGATTATAGTCATGGAAACTTATCATCTGTACCAGAAGATATACTTCAATATGAAAATACATTAGAAGAACTTCATTTAGAAGCAAATTGTTTTCAAGAATTACCAAAAGTAAGAAAAAGAATCTTTGAAAATATTTTTGTTTTTTAATTTGTCTAGTGGTTATTTCAATGTCATGTTTTACGTTATTTAATTTTATCTGATAATGAACTTGATTGTTTACCACCATCTATTTCAAGTCTTACAAATTTAGAACGTTTAGATTTAAGTCGAAATGGTCTATATTTTCGTTTTTTGTTTTTCATATAAATATTATTTTTCTTATTTAGATTTAATATCACTACCAGATAATATTCGTTATTGTAAATTATTAACATCAGTTGATTGTAGTTCAAATCGATTAGAAAGGTTAGTTGACTTGTTTTTTAATATATAAATAATTTATTTTGTTTAGATTATGTGAAGGATTAACAATGTTAATTAATTTAAAAGAATTATATCTTAATGATACATTATTAGAATTTTTACCAGGCAATTTTGGACGGTAGGAAAATATAATTTAGAATTATTTAAATATAAAAAAATAACGTATGATCTCGATAATTAATATTCAATTTAATATGAAAGTAGTTTTTTTTTGTTTTATGATAACTTGAGTCGTTTTTTTCTTTTTGTATCTTCACAATAGATAACATGATTTGAATAAAAATATCATTGAAATTATTTTTTTTTAGGTTAACAGAATTAAAAGTGTTAGAAATGCGTGCAACACGTATGCGATTATTACCTGTTACATTACCAAAATTAACTAAACTTGAACGATTAGATTTAGGTGCTAATTCATTTATTGAATTTGTATGTTAAAATAAAAAACAAAAAAACGAATTTTATTATTTTAAATCAATGTTTTTTCTTTTTAGCCTAATGTTTTAACAAATCTTCCATCTCTTAAAGAATTATGGTTTGATTCAAATAAATTAATATCAATAGATGATGTAAGTTAATATTTTATAGATCTCTACATATATATATGTTTTTTCTTCATTATTATTATTTTTCTAGTAAAAGAAAAGAGTAAATAAGGTATTAAGCTTATTACCCTTTGTAAATCATCTTTCACCTATTTCATATGTGTTTTTCTTGATGATGTTGTTGCTTTTGTTATTCTTTTTGTTTTGTTTTGAATATTAAAATAAATATATTTATATGTTTTATTTAGTCAATTGATAAATTAACAAATCTAACTTTTCTTGATATATCACAAAATCAATTAACTGAATTACCATCTTCAATTGGTGATTGTAAATTAACAGATTTATATGTATCAGATAATTTTCTTATTAGTTTGCCGGATTCGATTGGTAATAAAATAATTTCGTCCTTTTTTTTTTTTTAAACTAAATGAAATTTTCTTTTTCTTTTTAGTTAATTTAACTAGTTTAGAAATTTTAACAGCAAATAATAATCAAATTGAACGTTTACCGAATAATATTGGGAAGTACGTAACATAAAAAAACAAAAACTTTTATTAATACAAAAAAAAGTTTTTCTTTTTTTTAAATTAATTAGTTTAACATCATTAGTTGAATTACATTTATCATTTAATAATTTAACATCAATACCAACAAGTATTGGTTTATTACATAATTTACAATTTCTTACATTAGATCATAATCAAATTCAATCGATACCAGCAACTGTAAGAATACTTTTTGGTCTCGAAAGAATTATGATTTTTTTTTTTTTGTTAATTAGATTGGTAGTTGTTCAAGTTTAAGTATACTTTCATTACGTTCAAATTGTTTAACAAATTTACCAGATGAAATCGGACGTTTATCATTATTGAAAGTACTTAATGTTAGCGGTAAGAGATTTTATTTTTACGAGAAAGAATTTTAATAAATATTCTTTGTTTTTTAATAGGAAATTTTCTTCGATATTTACCTTGTACATTATTAAAACTTAAAAATTTACAAGCATTATGGATGAATGAAAATCAAGTAAGTTTTTTATTGATTAAATGTATGTATTAGCGTTATATATCGTTTTTTTCGGACCTTCATTCTTGAGATTATGAACAAAGTTGTAACTTCTATGTTGGAAATTCTTTCGTGTATAAAAATAAATTTTATTCATATCAAAATTGATGTCAAAAGTCGGTTTTTCCAGTGATTTAGATTTTAAAGATCCAAAAATTTTTCATCTAGGACATTTTAATGACAAAAAAAATAAATCAATATTTTGTTCTCAAGTGAGATTCTGTACAAAAATGTATTCAGTGTATACACTTTAGCATAGTTTTATTATTGATAACAACTTTTACATATCTGATGCGTTTCGTATATATATACACAAACAGTTTTGTACTGTTTTAAAAAAAAAAGACCTTGATTTTTCTATACTTAGAAGCACTTTCAAACAAAAGTAAGAGAAGTTCCCGACTGGGAGAATATGTCTGCTTAATACATTCGCTCTCATTACATTTGTCTTTAACTAGTTGTAGTTAATGTTCAATTATCAGGTTCATTGCTCTATCAATATGTAAAATAGGTGCGTTATATTTTGTAATCATTTTTTTTTTAATGTGTACAATTATTCATATTTCTTTCAATCAAGCAAATGTCAATGAGTGTTTCTGAATAAGCGTGAAAAAATGTATCGAATGAACAGATTTGAGTCTATTCTTATCCGATGATCCTCATTAAAGCTTTCAATTTTGATTTTATATTACAAAGGAACATATTTAGGTGGTCGCATTTCATTGACTTGTCTTCAAAATCGAGTTTATATGAAAATCCAATATTTCGATAAAGGATCGTTTGTTTGAGTTGAAAATTTCAGATCAAAATCTGGACTCGAACGGCGTCCGGCACCTAAATATGTTCCCTCGTTAGTTTGTAATCAAAACAAAAAAAAAATCAAATATTTTACAAGATAGTTTTTTTCATCTTTCCTATTACATTTGATATCCGTATATATAATTTCATTTATCACTTTTGAATGTAAAGCAGTTTTTCAAGTGATTATTATTTTTTTTTGCTACTTTCTTATGACTCGTTGCTTTTTTTTCGTTCTAGGCAAAACCTTTAATTGCTTTCGAACAAGAACGTCATCCAACAACAGGTCAACGTGTACTTACATGTATACTTTTACCACAAACTGATCCTTCAATGAATCGACATACATCAAGTATGAATAATTTGTTATATAAAATATTGATATGAAAAAAAAAAAAATTTTTTTGTATTTTGTAGAAAATCGATTTATTGCCGAACAAACAATTGATTATACACATCGTCCAATAACACTTCGTTTTGCTAATGATATAATTGATGAACCAGTAAAATAGTTTTGATTTTTATTGATATTAATTTTCCTGGTCGTTTTTTTTCTTCTTCTCAGCGACAACTTGTTCGTAATCCAACACCATATCCAAAAGAAATGCGAGCATTTGCTAATATTCTTCGAAATTATCATCATAATCATCAACGTCAAGTAAATCGATCACCTCCGAAAGTAATATTTATCGAATATTTGTTCAATAAAACTTTTTTTTTACAATTTATTAGAAATATTCTTCATCATCAAATTTATTAATGGTTTGTGATGAAATTCCAATAGATAAATCTTGGTGTGAACATATAAATTCAGCATCTGTTGGTTCAATGAATTCCGATCCATTATGTTGTCCATTAGCACGAAGTCATGATGATTTACTATGTAGTACTAGTCCATTAGATGATATTGAAAGAATGCGTCCCGATATCTTACCTGGACAAATAAATGATATTGATGAAAGTAAAAGTAATCATTCATTCTAATTTATGTAAATAAGAACAGTCTATAAAATATGAAAATCAAAGTTGTTCCATTAACAAAAAAAAAAATGGGAGTAATGTGCAATCGTTAAAATTCTATTGTTTATGTGTGTGTGTATATGTTAATTAATTCAGATAAAACAAGAAAAAATTATTTATATGAAATAGTTGTAGAAAAAAAAAATAATTCGTATTGTTTTTTTTTTTCGTTCTTGGCTCGTTTATTCTAGATTTAATTATTGAAAATAAATATGAACTCATCAAAAGCTGAAGCTGAAAATATTGAACCAACAGCTGGTAAAGAAATGCTCGATAAATATTGGGCTGAAGTTAAAAATGAAATAGATGATATTAATATTGTAAGTTACTTCAAAATAGTTTCTTCTGTAGAAGAAAAAAAAAATTGATAGTGTCTGTTAGAAGAAAATCAAACAATTATTAAAAATATGTTTATATGATAGTTTCCGACAAAATTCGAACTATGCTAGATCTCATAATTTTCGAAAAAAGAACCCTAGTAAAACATTATGCTATCGCATGATCAGTTCATCAAATTAGCATAGAATCGAGACTCATCCTTAGGCATTTCTTAATTTTAGACTAATAAAACGAGCCATGCCCATTCATATCACTATTAGAGATGGAATCAGTCTAAATTTTTGACAACTACTACTGATAATAGTCTGAAAAGGTTAGAAAGGTCGGTTTACCGGTTTCATCCCTGTTTTCTATTATTGCTGCGAGATTAAAATATGAAACACGATATACCTGTTGTTGATAATCATAAGAAGATTGTTTTCTTGTGACAACTCTTTCTTCATCAGTCTTTCATTTGATCCTTTAGAAATGTAATATGATTAAAAATTTTTTTTTTTTTTTTAGGTTGAATTTCGTACAACTGATTTGCCATTAGCACGTATTAAAAAAATAATGAAATTAGATGATGATGTTAAAATGATTAGTGCTGAAGTACCAATATTATTTGCTAAAGCAGCTGAATTATTTATTCAAGAATTAACAATTCATTCATGGTTACAAACAGAAGAAAGTCGACGTCGTACATTACAGGTTAAACACAAACAACGAAAATTTTAAATAAAAGAAAAAGAATTTTTTTTTTCACATCTTATAGAGAAATGATGTTGCTGCAGCTATATCAAAAAATGAATTATTCGATTTTCTTATTGATATTGTTCCACGTGAAGAAGCAACTAAAACACATAAGAAAAAAGAAAGTGTTAGTGAAGTACAATATATTGTTACATTACCAACATCAACTGGCATGGGCAATACAATTCAATTACCAAGTAAAATTATTTTTTTTTACTCAATAATAATATTATGCATTTTTATTTTTCAGATGGTCAAATTATTCAATTACCTCAAAATTTATCATCAAATATTGTTACAATGGCAGTAAGTTACAAAATTAACTTTTTGTAAATATAAATAATTAATATTATTTTTTTAGAGTCCACAAGGTACACAACAACAATATACAATTGGACCTTAAATAAATGAGATATACCTATTTCATTTGTTTTGTGCAATGTTCAGATATCTTATTCTTTTTTTTTTTGTATGAATATTTTATGTAAACAAAAATCATCTATATATCTTTTTTTCTCTCTCTCTCTCTCTATATATATATTTTTTTTTTTGTTCATTGTATAATATGCTTGATGAGTATTTGTTAGTGTTTATTGTTCATGCTATATTTCTCTCAATGTATTCTAGATAAGATTAAATATGACACAAACATCCACTAATGAAAAAAGTGAAGCATTACAACCAACAGAAGGAACTGAAATGCTTGAACGTTTTTGGTCAGAAATACGTGCTGAAGTTGAATCGATAAATATTGTATGTGTTTATATTAATTGAAATAAAATAGAGATAATGAAATTCTTTTGTTTGTTTCTAAGATGGATTTTCGAGCAAGTGAATTACCATTAGCACGTATTAAAAAAATAATGAAATTAGATGATGATGTTAAAATGATAAGTGCTGAAGTACCAATACTATTTGCTAAAGCTGCTGAAATATTTATTCATGAATTAACATTACGTGCATGGCTTCATACAGAAGAAAGTAAACGACGAACATTACAGGTTTAAATAGAAAGATATATTCTTTTAAAAATTATTATTATTATTTTAATAATAGAGAAATGATGTTGCTATGGCAATTACAAAATATGAACAATTTGATTTTTTAATTGATATTGTACCACGAGAAGAATCAAAACCTCATAAAAAACATGTAAATTTATATATTATATAAAAAACATAATGAATATCATTAAATTTGATTTAGGATAATAATATGGGTGAAGTACAATATATTGTTACACTTCCACAGGCAAACCAACCTAGTGCTATTCAATTACCAAGTAAGAATTTAATTTTTGTATTTGTCTTAGTTTATATTTTTTGTCATTAGACGGACAAGTGATACAATTATCTCCAACAATACAATCGCCACTTGTGGCCATTGGTGTAAGTATATTCTCATATCGAATAATTGATAAGATATATGTAGTACATACAGTCCTGAATAAAGGTAGGTGCCTTCTATGAGATTCTACGATGCATTATGAGTGGATTTGTGCGACTTTCTCTTACGAGCTACCCTTCCCAAGTGTTAATTGTTGATTGAACTTATATTTTGTCCATAAGTAAAACTCGATGAGACTAGCAGAAGCCTGAAAGGATTTGACCTGAGATTTTGTTCATCAACAGATCTCATGGTCACTAGAATGTTCTAAAAGTTTCAGCTAAAATGAATGTTTCTTTCTCAAGGAACGATTATATTTCAAAGGCAAAGGTAAAAAAATCGAGCTTCTTGAAAACTCAATATCTCGAGAAAGAAACGTTAATTTTAGCTGAAACTTCTAAGACATTCTAGTGATCATGGAACTTGTTTATGAACAAAATTTCATTGTTGGACTTTCTTATAAATACCATTGCCAGAGGTCGAAAAAACCAGTAAAACGGTCGTACCTTCGGAAGGACAGCGTAGAGGGCGAATTGTTATGGCAAAATATGAGCTCGATCAGCGATTCACATTTGGAACGGTTTTCTCGTTAGAAAAACATATTCAACAGACATATATACTCAATAAATTTTTATTTCTCATTTTACTATTACCGAAGTTATCGTAATAAGCAAATAATATCTCAGTTATTTTAGAGATTATTTCTAATACAATTAGGATTAGAGCTTACAGTTTACAATATTTTATTACATTGGTAGAATTCTGGCCAACAATACGCAGTTTTATCCCAGCCAAATCAGATTCAAGCACCAACTCAATATATTCAAATAGCTGCACCTCAAGTATCTGAAGTATAAAAATAACTATTTTTCGTCTAATTTTATTTTACACTCTTCCTTTCTCTCTTCAGACTATGCAGCAGCAGCAACAACAACAAACAACAGCATCGGCAAAAAATGTACATGTGTCAACAACACCAAATGTCATGCAACCACAACAACGTCCTACGACATCAGCACATGTAAAATTTTATTCTAATATGATAAAAATTTACAGAAAATATTTTCTTTATTTTTTGTTTCAAGATTACCATAACAGCAGCACAATTACAACAAATATTAAATGCTTCACATAAAACTAATAATAATGCAACAACTACAACAACAAAATCCATACAACAAAATGATAATAATAATCAATCATCGGATCAAACAACTACAGTTGATATTAAACAACAACCTGTTTAATAATTAAATTAAATATTAAAACAATAAAAAAACAAAACATTCGGTTTTTTTTTTCTTCAATCTTTCACGTGCCATTTTTTTCGAAGAACGTGTAACTTTGAAATTGGATAATGCTGTGAATTTTTCTTTTCTTTGTTTTTTTTTCTGCTTCCTATTACTTATATTAACAAAATGTTGCATTTGGACAACATTTTCTTATGTAGATTTTGTAAAATGATTGTTTTCAAGTTAACTTCCGAAGAGAAAAAAAAAAAAAAAAACAAAACATAGAACTTAAATAGATAAACTTCTTCTTTTCTTTTGTTTCAAGATATTAGTAAAAAAAACAAATGAATATAATATGTCGTACTATACTTTCTTCTCTACGTACAACAAATCGATTATATAAAAATCCCTTAATAACAGGTAGAATATGAATTCTAGGGTGAGTTTTGATGAAAAGAAAAACATCGAAAAGAAAATTTAAAATTAAAGACTAAACTCTTTAAGAAATGAATTATCAAAGAGATAAATAGAAAACTGCAATTTTTCTTTTTGAATATTTTCTTATCTAAATTTTAATAAATTGAAAAGAAACTAGAAGAAATTTTTCTAATTGAGCAATATTAATTTCAAAAATAAATGTATTCGAGTCTAAAAATTTTCATAATACAAACTGATATATGTTTCTTTTTTCTGTGTCGAGAAATAGTATATTGCATATATGAAAGTAATGAATTGAACAGTAAATCACATTAATACTTTTACAAAAACGATATAGAATTATGAATTATTTCAGGCAAAAAGGGACATATCTATCTTTCATTTGACTTTTGATTGTTTATGAGGATTATTTTCTAAATAAATTCTTTTAACATAGACATATATAACAATGTTGAACTAACGCCTTGATTCGGAGTTTGTTAAACTCAAATATATGAAGTGAAAGTCGATGTTCATTTTCTCATCACATCACCAGCACTAAGTTTGAATTGATAACTTTTCTGAACAAAGGCTTCTAGCACTGATTATTTCAGAGTATTTAGAGTAATTTAACATACAAGAATTAGTTCTACAGAAATTCATAATCTTGAGATACACGTATTTTTCTTTTCCAAAGTTACATCGCTAACAAATGGTTGACTCATATATGTTTAATAATATATGTCATACTATAACTTGAATATTATTGAACTTGACTAGAAAATGGAGCTTAATTTTCTTTAGAGTTGAAAAAATTGTCAAAGAATTTTCAAATGAAATTCTCATTATTATAAAAGT